GCTAATTCCTGAAACAACTGCAGGCACACACATTGGTCCTCTGGTGCCTTCTGTATGGCAGTTTTCTATAAAATATATCTGACACGGAGCTTGTGTGGCTGTCGGGCTTGCAAACCCACATAGAGCATACATAAAAGCTGGGATATGTGCTGGGAAGTGCTTCCTTACTTCCCGCATGTGGTGTTGCTGTTATGATCCCTGTCAAGGAGGTAGCAAGTATTTGCCTGGCCATTTGGTTGGCTTTAGCCTGCAGAGAAATTTTACCCTCAAAACTGTAAGTTTAGCATTTTCATAAGATTTGGAATATGTTAAAAATATCAAAGGAGATCTAGGTAGTGTGTAGGAGTGGGGAAAGGGAGAATAACTCGTATAAATGGCATGCCAGGGGTGTGACTTTATACTGAAGGGCTAGTTGCTAATGAGATTTGAGATGTCCTAACAACTGCATTCTTGCTGAAGTGTTTTTTTTTGCTCTACATTAGCAACTTTTACTGTTCTCTTCATCATCATCATTATTATTATTATTATTATTATTATTATTATTATTATTATTATTATTATTATTATTACATGAATGAAATAAGTCAAATGTTCATATGATCTTGCTGCTTTAGAAACAAATGACAAAGTTCCCGTTTCTTTCAAGAGGACCAGAAAAACCTATGCAAAGGGTTGTGAATGTATGAGGAAATATTTACCACTGTCTCTGGTTTAGGGCATGGAGGAGAGGATGAGGGGCCTTTGGGAAATTCGCAGTCTGATGTTGACAGTCCTTCCTTGTCTCCCTGCCTGTTACCTATTTCTGGGTGGGAAAGAAAGAGGCTGGGAATGGTAGCTGCTTGTTTTCTGAGGAATCTGTACTCTACAAGGCCACAGCCAATCTGTTTCCCCTTTATGCAGCAGGAAGAGATGAGGCAAAGCAGTGTGTGTGCTCATACATATTTCAAATCCTTTATTTTTTTCTTAGGGTTATTTTCACTTTTCTTTTAAAATAGGGCAAATCTTGGTGCCCTAAAGCTAACTCCTCTTCTATATAGTTTACTCTTGTTGATTTAAAAAACAGGAATCCTGAGGAAGATTTGTCAGCGTAGCATTTGCTATGCAAAATTTACATGCAGCTGCTTTGAACTGAATTCCTGGCAGAAGTGAAAGGATTTTGAGGCTTCCAAATCTTAGCTGACTGCTGTTTTGTGCAGACGGAAATCCATCTGATACGTCCTTCTCTAAAGATCCTTCCTAGCCAGTAAGTGCTGTACAATCCTTCTCCAGCCTGACTGAGACACATTATTGGTGTATGGGAGAGGATGGGTCTGGACCAAGAAGTTAATTAGCTGTGCCTGGGAATGCCAGCTACTAAAGTAACTGGTTATTTTTTGAAGGGGGAGGAAAACTCTTATTTTCAGAGTCGAAAGCAGCAAAAACATGAAAATGTGTGCAAATATTGGTGCTTATTTCTCTTCTGTTGGTCAGCACTCTTCCTCACATGTGGGGCAGCACTTTTCCTCAACATGTGGGGCAAATTTTCCAGCAGTTCTGCTTTGGTGTCTGGAGTTGTAAGTTGTATCTAGTCCTACCTGAGGAGCATTTGAAGGCTACTTGCAAATCAGGTGTTGGTAACGTCTCACTAGTTTCACAGTAGCTGAGAAGCCGTTGACACTGATAGTTTTTTTTGGTAATGAAACCATGATCTAATCCAGGACCAGCGGTAAACAAGTGGTTTGCTGTTTAGACATGTAGGGTAACTAATGCAATTAAGGTAATGCAGTCCTCTTACAGGTGAAGACTTTCCTGTGTTGACACAGCAGCCTCCTCACTCTTTGGCAGCGATGCTAACTTCAGTGTGTGGAAGCTCTTCTCCTTAGGAGCAGGATCAATTCAATGCCCCATAAATCTTATTATGTATTCCGTTCGTTCCTCAGAGAAGTATCATGAGGGTTAATTATTTCTCTGCTCTGACTCAGACAGTGATTTCGTGCCAGAGGATTCTGGCAGTAAGTATAATCCTAGTGATACCCTCAGTGAGGAAACCATTGTTAACGATGTTGATGAGGAAGCGCTAATGGAAGCTGAACCAGAGCCTGATATAGAAATTGAGAGACCTAAGGCAAACAAAGGAAAGAGGTTGGAAACCTTGCTGTTTGCTGCCTTCTGCAGTAGATCTTAAGAAAAATAACTCTTTGTCTTCTTTCCCCTTCCCCCAAGCCCAAACACAGACTGCAGAATGCCTCTCCTGAGGCTGAGCTGTGCTAGAGGGAGGGAGGAGATGTGCTGCTTAAGTGCTGGTGCTGAGCATCATTCCCTCGGGAAGCCATGCAGTGAGGAGCAGTTTTCAAATACAGCGAGTGTCTCTTCAGCAAAGCTGGGCTGCCAGATGGAGGCTGAGGCCCCTGTTCTGCCCGTGTTCCACCAAGGCATCGCTCCAGAGCCAGTTGGCATGGAGAATTATAAGCACGTTGGCCATGTTACTCTGTTTAGGACCAGTGCTCTGGTGGTAGATGTCGCATGAATAAAATATATTTTCAGCTCTGTTCTTCTCTTACCAGTATTTTACAAACTCATGATGAGAGACCAGTGACATCTACCTGTCGTACAGCTGTTCTGTGAGGTGCAGAAAGGCTCCCTGTGCAAATACACAGAGGTAAGCACAACCTAGTCTGTAAAAAATTTATTTCCCTTGTCCCAAAGAGATTATTTTCCTCTCCTACTCCCATGTGGTTTCTAAGGCCCAGTTTAAACGCATACAATGACATAAGATACATAACTATTTTCCATACATGGCACTGGTTGTTCAGCAGGAAGCATTCGTTGCTTTAAGACAGTACTGAAAGGGATTCTGTTCTGCACTCCAAAAGAGAAGCAGACAGGATTATCTTGTGTCACATCCTTCTTCTATTAGTCAAATGGTGAGATCAGACATCTGAGTTGTTTCAGCCTATGACCTTACCCCATGCTTCCTGACAGATCTCACAGCTTTTCTTTTGTCTCTAGTATATATGCAGGATCCTCCAATCCATGTAAAAACCTGCATTCTTTCTTGATCTTTTTTCCTAGTATCTTGGACCTCTGGGAGATCACAACCTTGCCTTGATTTCTGTGTGGCTGCACTGCCTTAGTTTGGATCCCTCCACTAAAGGTGCTTAAAGGTATTCATGGCATTCTCCAATGTTTCTTGCTGCTATTCAACTATACAGTGTTCTTTTAACTTGCATTCTTCCTGTATGACTCCAGAAGCAGAACAGCAGTCTCTAATGTGACACTGACACTATGGCCCTTTATAGCAACCAGCAGTTTACGCATTCGTCATTCAACTCACAATCAGCTTTGCTATCTCTGTCATCTTACCGTTGCTCTCTCATTCTCTATCATGCTTAATTTTCTTTAGGCTCAGCAGCTGCTCCCAGAATTTTCACCAAAAACAGGTTTCAGATTCTCCCTCACGTTCTCTAGCAAGGAATGTCAGTAGCTCTTTCTTTCTTTTTTTTTTTTTTTTGGTCTCCTGTTTCATGGTATAATATAGTTTTCCTCCTAATTTCCTTTCTAATTGCTTCTGCATTTTCCTTTAACAGTCTGTGATCTCCAGCAGCATGTGTTATGCCCCATGAAATCTGGACACTGTGACTTTATTATTTCAAGCATCCTTGTAAACTATACCCAGCAGTTGTAGCCTTTCTTTATGTGATTGCATTCAGAAACATTCTCTTGTGTTAGCTGACTGACATGTATTCCCAGCAGTTCTCAGCCTTCTCTGTTTTTTATCATTATCCTGAGGCCCAACACTTGCATTTTGTAGTGTTGTGAGGCTTTCTTAGACAGCTCTGTCATGGTGACATCTCATCTGTTTTTCTGTATTACCATGAGACCTTTCTTGACGCAGATATCTTGTTCAACTTCCCTGATGTCCCACAGCACTACACAGCTTTTTTCTACAACCTCAGCAACTTTTGTGGTTCTCTGATATCCCCTGACTGTTATCTGTCTCTCTTTGATCTTCCTAGCTGAATCACAACACCCTCTTACCATCACTCACCGTATCACCTGTGATCTTCACAGGCACTTCTGTCTCATTAATGGCTATTTCCACAGTTTTCAAAAGTTTGACTCAAAACATTTTCACTAATCTAAGAATGTAAACAATCATGCAGCCAAAAAGGACTTCATTATAAAGTAGCAGTTCAAGCATTCACTTTGTTTCTCGGACAACATTTTTTTTAAGAAAATACATATCTGTCTCAGTGAATTTTGAGAATAGGACATTGTCACAGCATTTGCAGAAGTGCATATCAGCAGTCTGAGCCTCTTCAATAAGTGACTAAGCAAGGTGTCAAAGGTTTTATATCATGATTAGCTTGCCCAGGGTGTAAATACCCTGCAGAGATGAAGACTGGCAACACTGTTGAAAATTTGATCTGTAATAGCAGTGCCTTTTCTTCTCTTTAATAAGGTGGATATTGCTGTTCAATGCAAATCAACCTAGTCATGTTTGTAAAGTACTTGAAGTATTTGGGTGACTGGTACTATAGGAATTTAGACTGTTGCTATTCTTATACATATATATTCTTAGACATCTTTACCCGTAAAAACTAATAAGACAATCTTGAGTTTGCTATAGTTTGGCAATTTTTACTTGCCTGCTAGTTGGCCTCAAAACCTGTTTGAGGTTCAAAGTTTTAAAATGGAAAAAAGAAACATTTTGAACTTTATGAAGCCGTGGAGTTGGCTTCATTCTGATATCACTCCTTTTGAAAATAGATGAGCAAGAAATAACGCTAATTACATTTCTTATTAGATATTCAAGTAGCAGCAGCATCATCACCAGACTCATCTCTGTTGGTATTGTGTAAGCTAACTGTATCCATTTTACATGGATATCATTACAGAGTGAATATTCCTTCATAAAAATTCCAACTCTTGGCCATGTTTCTATACTTCAAATCTCTCCCAGTGCTTTGATTCCAGTAGGAATCCTAAAATAAGTTTAAGTAAGTTTGTACCTGTAGCTTGTCATGTGCAAACATGCACACTTGTTCCTGGTTTCTACTAATAAGGATTATAAAAAATGATACAGTGGTGCGTTAGTTTTATTTAGTTCCTGAGTCAACCATGCTTTTAGTTATTCCCAACATTAGACAGCATGTTTAACTGTGTAAGGGCTGCATTACTTTATTTCCTTTACTGCTTAAATTCTAAGGCAGTCAACAGTACTTCAAATATGGATTTATTACTACTTACATAACCACTGAACTGCAGGGAAGGGAGGATGAAAATGTTACTGAGTGCTGGGGTCAATTTCTCTTCACATGAAAGCACTGTTTAGCAGAAGAGGAAGAAACTGAACCTGGTGCCAGCTATTTTTGCACTAGCCAAGTCCTGTAATCAGAACTGCATGGGGACTGTGCTAACTTAACTCTGCAGTAGGGTAAGGTTAGCTTAAGCTTGTATATATATGCTTCCACAGGCCCCTGGTCCATCCCTTCCTTTCCCTTCCAGTTCCCCTCCTCAGCCTCTTCTTGGGCAAGTGTAGAAGCAATCTTAGCCAGGCGGACATCCTCAGGTGAGGTCTGTGATGGTCACTGTGTGACTGTTCTGCCGAACCTAATTCAGCGATGGATCCAAATTCAATCAAGGCATAGCTGGATATAGATCAGATTTTTATTTATCTATCTATTTATTTAAAAACTGAACTGGATCTGGCATCTTTTCAAACAGGGAAGTTTTCAGAGGAAGAGAAAAACAATATATATTGAATATAGATGATATTACTTTTGCATCAGGTAGATGTTTGGGTTTTATTTTCATTTCTTCCCAGTAGGAATTTCACTGGAGTGAAGGATTCCCCTGTGAGTGCTGGGAGGACTTGACTGGCTTCTTTCCAGATACAGGCTGTCATTTTAGTGTGGAGGCTGGAAAATAACCACGGAATAACTTAGGTTCAAACGGTCCTCCAGAGGTAATTTGGTTCAAATTCTGTTCCATCCAGCACTAATTAGATCAGACGGCTCTCTGATAATGCTTCTCAGGTAGATGGCCCATGGAGAAAATAAAGTCTTCATTTGAATTAGAAAAACATTTCTTAAACTTCTCATAAGCATAAGCCTCTCCTGAATCATTTGTCTCCTCAAGAATTTCCTGAGCACAGCACTTCTTCCCAGACTAGGGAACAACTAACCACCTCTAACTGATAGCAACAGCTCAAATTCTTCTGAGGGGAGGGAGTTAGAACTGATTATAATTTACTTGCTTGAAGTGCGAATATCCATTTCTCCGCCTTGGAAGAACTGCACTGCAGTGAGCAGCTAGATAAGCTTGCATAAGTACTTGCAGCCAGTTCTCACGACCATGTCCTGGAGGAAATGAGCATCACCTAGTAAGCAGAATATTTGGCTTTCCCTATCTTGCTTTGATACTACATTTCTTCTTTCTGTGATTTACCTAAATTTATGGTTCGTACTTCTTAATTAAGAAATATTTTTTTCTCTCTCTCTCTCAAATGTAACTCTTTTTGGATCTTCTTTCATTGGAAAGTATACTCTGAGCTGTCTTTGATCTAGCACTGGGTAGTTGTCAGAAGCAGAGAACTGCTCTTTAAAGCAGGTTGAACATAGGCATTGCAAAATTAAGGCTTTTATTCATCTTGTTTTGTAGTTTGCCACATGGCTGATGTAATGGCATTACCTCTAGCAATGCTTGTTCTGCCTTTAGCCTCTGTACTGATACTGCTAACAATAAGTGAGAAATCTGTTTTTGTCAGCATCGTGTGACAACCAGCTCAAGTGATACAAGCTGCTGAACATATCTATGCTAGGCTCAGAATAATAATTTAAAGCAGGAAGTCTCCACATTCAAATAGCAGGAACATGTTAATCTGGACTAAATTTTTGTCCTTCAGCTTCAACTTTGTATGACATCTGTCCACTCTAAATAGCATTCAAATGAAAAAGAAGGGAAGATGTTCCTCATAACTGTACTTTCAGTCACCCTTTGAAAGGTGTTGGTTCACCCATAATGTGCAGCCTCTCTGAAATACGCATATCGTCTGTTCTCAGCATCCGCAGTGTTATGAAGCAGTTGGGAAAAGAAAGTGAAGAATAACTTCTCCAAATGCAGCTAGAGGGGAGGGAGAAGTATTAGAGAGACCTGGATATAATTACCTGAGCTGGAGCTCAGCCAGGAAAGTGCTGATCTAAAGAACAGGGAAGTCCTGACTCTGCACGAGGGATCCAGACAAATCTAAAAAAAAATAAAAATGCAATAACAGAAGTGGGATTTGAGCATCTGGGAAAATGTTTGAGAGAGTGAACGAATACGAACTAAGGCCTCTAGGGAGTGTGGTAGGAAACAAAAGGAGCAAGATCAAGAACAGAGGAATATAATGGTAACATACATGGCATTGGCTGTCTTATAATCAGTCAGTCCTACCTGGTAAAACTATCAGCATCCTGTACATGATCTAAGAGAACTAAAGGCTTGGAGTTCGTTTAACCCTCTAGCCAAGCCAAACTACATGAACACAGATGAAAGTAAGGCAAGTTATCTCTGTTGTTCTCTTAAATAGCAATGAATAAGAACTGAGTCAGACATGATAAATATGGTAAGTTTTTAACACAGCACCAGGTTAATTAGCCATCATTAAAGGAAAGCTTGTGCAGGAAGAAGGATTTCTCTCTGATGGGCTGTTCCCTGACTAAGGAGACCCGGTCTCAGACTGAAAGGATTTTACCCTTAATTCCACAGCCCTTAAAGGGTATTTATAGGGAAAGTGGTTCAGAGGACAAATGTTAAAGAAAAACAGGGGGAAGAAAAGGAGGGGGATGGATGAACTTGAGGAAATCCAAGCAGGGTAGCGTAAGGGATTTGAAGCTATGCATACTTCTCACTGGCAGTTTTATTTTGTTTTATTTTGTTTGTTTTTGTTTTGTTTATTTTTTACTTTCTCTGATTTTTTTTTTTTTTTCTCAGCTCATTTGTTTTATGCCAAGAGGCTTATTTGTCTTTCCTGGCTTATTTGTCGTGCATCTGGATTTAAATCAGTTCCTCCGAAGACTGCAATCTAAAAATTAAAGTTGGGATGGATTTTGACCTAATTTAAACAGTTATACATCTGATGAAGTAAAGCTTTGCCATTGTCTTCTACTGAACATAGTATTTTTGGGAATTGGTAGTTCTTTCATTATTTTTATCTGTTTGAATGTATTTTTTAACTTAATATTTTTTGCTTCCTTAGTATCACGTGTGCTTACTGTGCTTTAGAAGACAAATGTAAGCCAGGGTCACAGTGCAAGTTCAGACTCCATTCAGACCACAATGCTGTATTTCTCAGCACCTTGCAGGATTTGGCATTTCATTATTATTATTATTATTTTTAATTTATTTAATTATTGAACACAGAGTGAGAACAGATTCATCTTGGTCACTATTCTAATATAACTGGCTTGGAATCTGAAAAATACATTTTGAAGACAGCTTTGCTTCTGATCTTAGGAAGAACACTGATGGGAATTAGTTAGGCACTGCTACTTGAAAAAAAAAGAGATAGATAATTAGAATCCAAGTTTTAATCATGCTGCCTTTGAAAGCAAAACAAAATCAGTAACAATCTGAAATCAAGTCCCTTGCTACTTTTCGCTTTAGTAAGAGGATGCTCAATTCTTACAAATGCCAAGAGCGTTTCTCAGAACTGAGAGAAGAGCTCCACTGAATTTTACTGCAGCAGCTACAGAAGTTGCTGCGCTGGGCTGCCCGCTCTGCTGCTCTGCTGGAGGTGACCACCATCCAAGCAATGCTGGCAGAAAAGACCTCAATTACGCCTCAGTTTCTTCACGAAAAGCCAGCTTGTCTACTTAAATTCACCTCAGTGGGATTTCACCTGCGTGTCACTAGCTGCAGTGCTGCCTGGCATGGTTTGCATTGTGAGCTGATACCAGCTAATGCAGTGCAGTATCTTCTGTGGAGTGGCTTACTGATTTCAGATGAGCTCCTAGTGACAATCAGAACTGCTTTGCAACTAATTGGGTGCAGTGGTTTCATACTGATGGCTAGCTAAGCTCCACCACACTGTTCTCTCACCCCTCCTCCTCAAAAGAACGGGGGAAGAAAATAGGAGGAAAAAAGGCTCATAGGTTGATGCAAGGCATAGTTTATCATAGAGTCATGTCATAGAGTGACTTGGGTTGAAGGGGACCTTAAAGATCACCTTGTTCCAATCCCCTGCCATGTGCAGGGATGCCACCCACTAGACCAGGTTGCCCAGGGCCCCAACAACCTGGCCTTGAACACTTCCAGGGACGGGACATTAAATTTATTTAAAGGGAAAAAACAACAATAGCAAACAAAGAACAACACTCCCCCTGCCAAACAACAACAACAACCAAAAAATAATAATAACAAACAAATAAATAATTAATTATATAAAACAAGCAAAGACTGTGGAAGCAATTGCAGGAAATTATTCTTCCTATCAGCGAGTGATGTTCAGCTGCATTTTGGGGAGCATGGTCCCAATACACAGAGCGGTTGCTTGGGAGGACAGGCAGTATAATGAGAGACCCCTTCTTCTTCTTCCTCAGCTTTCATCATTTAATGTGATGCCATATGGCACAGAATATCCCTTTGGTGAGTTTAGGTCAGCGGCCCTGGCAATGTCCCTTCTCTGCACACCTCTTGCCCACCCCCAGCCTTCTGGCTTTAGGGAGGGTGTTGGAGAGACAGCCTTGATGCTGTGCCAGCACTGCTCAGCAATAGACAAAACATTGGTGGGATATCAATGCTGTCCTAGCGACAAGTGCAGAGCACAGCACTGTGTGGGTGATGTGGGGAAAGTTAACTCCATCCCAGCCAGCCCCAGCACGCAGCGCAGTAAGAGCAGGAGGGACAGAGGCTGAGCAACCAGTGGACACTCGCTTATAAAATCACTACTGAAATGGCAACGGATTACTCGAGCGGGATGAATAATGGGAGAAAAAGAGTTGTGCTTTTATTGTCAAATGTACAAGGCCCAAGTGCCACATCGGTGGTGCTTAGGTCTTTTCTTATCTCTGAAGTTATGAGAATTGTACTTGGCCTCAACTCAATCTACCACCTGCCACTAGAGCAATGAAGCTATCATCAGCTTTACACATCTGGAGTTCAACACTGAGCTCCAGGCATGACAGCTCTACCTAACTGATGTTGCTTCTTGTCCTTTACTACAGCTGGAGGCCCAGTGCTTAGACATCTATTTTCTCAATATGTTATTCACCTTCCCTCTGACTACAAGCAAAATACATTTGCCCAGCAAACTGCTTGCAATTGCTCTGGGATCTGCTGAGCTCCTGCCTTTCTGGTGTGCTGTTGAAAATCAAATTATATAGGTTTAGCAACATAACTATAATTAGGGTCAATGGAAAACTGCGGGTAGGGTAATACTGTGGATTCTGCAATTTTTGCCATGTTGCTCCATAACAGGGCAAAACCCATTAATTTTATTGCTCCACAGTGCATTAACACTGTCAATAAAACATCCCCTGCTTCCTGCAGTGGAACTGGCCTTTCAGTGAGCACATTGCCAAGGCTGGCCTCAATTTACAGTAATCCGCAAGTGGGGCCCAAGTGCGCTCCTCCTGAAGTCAGTGGCAAAGCTCCTATTCACTTCAGCAGTAGCTGCCTGGGCAGGCCTAGGCACAGAAAATCAGGATGGATAAAGGAGATGATAGAGCAGAGCTGACGAGAAAAGAAGGCAGTTTATCGTGTTTCATTATAATCTCTGCAGTTATCACCTGATCTCATACTGATATTACCAGGAGGTTTATTCACAGATTAAAATTATGTTGTAACTAAAATTTAATCTGTATTTATTTTCTTTTTCTCCATCACACAAAGAAAATCGGTCCTCTAGGCTACTGCTGCTTCTGGGCTCTTGAGTTCCTCCTCTTCCTCCTTCAATTTTCCTCATGCGCCCATGCACATCTTTCATCCATTTCCACTTCTTGCTTCTTGGAGTTCTTCATTCTCTACCCCTCTACTGTTCCAACTCCCAAAATAATTAGATGTCAACCGGCTAATTGCTGACTGTATTGTACCATTGCTGGCCCTTTCAGGCAGGAGAATACAACTCTTGTGATCATTCTTTCAGGATGTCAGCAAACTTGGGTAGATGTCATAAGACTGATGTCATAGTTGGAAGGCTGCCCAGAATCAGGTTAAAATTAAAAAAAAATCAAGTTTGAGCTCTTGTGACTGTAGAGGTGGTCTGAATACGTAATACAGGTTCAAATAATTACAAAGATAATGCAAGATCCAGGCTTCATGCCTTGTGACACAAGAGGGAAATAAAAATGGAAATGGAAAAGGAAAAAAAAAAAAAGTGAGCTAATTGTGGGAAAGAAGTACAGAAACTGAGGTGGAAAGGAAAACAGGGATGGAGAAGGGGGAGAAATATAGAATGCTCCCATTCCTATGGAAAAAGGGTAAGGGTGAACTTAAACTAAATAAAAGAAATAAAATCCTAAGTAGTGAAGAAAAAACAAAGAAGGGTGACTAGTATGATAAGCCGGGGATTGTGGCTGAATTTAATTCTGGCACTGCAGAGAAAAGTTCCAGCTATTGAATTACAGTCTAGATTCTTTAGATTGCAGAGTTGTAAGTGAATAGATTGGCTCTCTTATGTGCTTACACAACACCCACTGACTTAGGGGCTATGACCACATGAATGCTTACCAATGCTAAGAATAAAAGGTTGAAGTAATTCCTATGCACCAGATGAGCTGGAGGAACCTCTGCATGAGGTGGCAGAAATAAAGACTGTATTAAAATGCAAGAGGTCAAAACAGATGAGCAATGGCTGCAAGGTCAACATCAGATCTGTTATTAATAATACTTGTATATTATACATATATTAGGATATCATAGCTTTTTAAGGAAATTAAATTGATATCCTTTCACGTGTTACCAACATGTGTTTGTTTCATTAGATGGGTTGGAGTTCCAGATCCACAGACTGGAGCAGAGGTCCATGGAGGAGGCTGCGGCCCATGGAGAGCCCCCGCAGGAGCAGGCCCCGGGCCGGAGCTGCAGCCCGTGGAGAGGAGCCCACGCAGGAGCAGGGGGTCTGGGGGGAGCTGCTGCCCAGCCGTGGGGGACCCGTGCTGGAGCAGTTTACTCCTGGGGGATGGATGGATGGACCCCTGTGGGACGGAGCAGTGTGGGAGCAGTGCTTGAAAAGCAGCAGCCCACATAGGATCAGTTCGGGAAGGACGGCATCCCGTGGGAGGGACCCCATGTGGAGCAGGAGCAGAGGGACCATGAAGGAGCAGCAGAGATGAAGCGTCAGGGACTGACTGCAGCCCCCATTCCCCGTTCCTCTGCACCACATGGGAGGCAGAAGAGGGTGGACGGGGAGGAAAGTGTTTTTAGTTTGCTTTTAGTTTCTCACTGCTTTAGTCTGCTAGTGATAGGCAAATTAATTTCCCTATGCTGAGTCTGTTTTGCCCTTGACAATAATTGTTGAGTGACCTCCCCGTCCTTATCTCAAGCTGTGAGCCCTTCTTTTTCTTTTCATCTTATTTTCTCCCCCTTTTCCTTTGAGGACAGGGAGTGAGAGACCAGCTGTGATGGGGTTTGGCTTCCCAGCAGGATAAAACCAGCACAGTGTTGGTTCTAGTTTCCCTTACTTCCTGGTACCTTGCCACAGGGATGCCCCCCATATTTTCCTACACAGTTCTTCATCACATAACACAAGTTTAATCTGAGCATGTCCATTCTTGACTGAACAAGTGCAAAACAATTTTCAGAAGTTTCAGAAGGCTTGTTCTACAAACAGCAAAAGGTAACTCCTTGATATCAGCATTCATGATACCGTCTTCATTTTTTTAGCATACAGATATTCTAGGATTTAAAAATAATAATAATAAAAAAGGCTGTAAACTTTTTTAAGACAAAATAAAATGGTATGCTTTTCTCCTGACTGG